CCTTTTTACTGACTCTATTCCAGGGCTTTCCTCTTTTGATGATGTTGTTAAATGGAGACTTTGTAAATCTTCCTGCTGTTCATCAGACTGTTTTAAATCATTGTCTTTTACATTTTCTGGTTCATCTGACTTTTTCTTTTCCTCATTTTTGTCTGAAATTGCATCATTGAATTGTTCATCAGTAAAATCTTTTGCTACATATCGTGTTGTTTGTGCGTCTGCCTTGTTGTTTTCACACAACTGTGATGTCGGTGCTACTTCATCAAACAGATCAGGGAACAATTCGTGTTGAAGAACTTGTTTATCAGTTTGAACCCTAACGTTTAATCGCAGTCTCCTATCGTATTTTGAAAGGTCAAAATCGTCAAAGTCTACAAGTCAAATACCTGTCTTTCGGGGATGATTTCAATTTTTCAATCTGTGTGTCATCGCTTCTTTCAGCATTTCATCAAATGTAGGGCGTCGGCGTAATCCAATAATATTTTTCTGTCATATTAAATATTATAGATTTGAATTTAAACTTCCGGTGGTATTTCTTTAAGTGAACCGCTCATCGTGGTTCGACTATCCTTTGTCTTTTTGTATGTGTGTGTGGGAAATTGAGTAATACACTTTGTCATTGTAAAACCTTACTAATTTCAATCTGTTTTCCTTCTAAATAAAATCACCATCGCTATTAACTAAAGTATTGTGTAATTCAAGGAATTCTTCATGAACACTGTCTTTAATCCTTCGAAATCCGTTCAGTTTGTTCATGACTTCTTTCATCTCTTCTTGTTTGCTTGCAAGATAAGCGGGTGTTAGTTCGGACGCTCTTTTCTTAAACTCATCGTATCCATACGCGTCTTCTGCTTTTGGTTCTACTTCAACTACAGGGTCGTATTCACGTTCATCTTCTTCTTCCCCTTCCTCTTGTATTTTTAATGGTTCTAATTCTGGCATTTCATTGAATGGACTTCTACACCATCAGGTACTGATTGAGCGGTCATAGCGCTAGACATTTCATCGTGTTGTTCTCTCCATAGTCTCATTCGCTCTTCAAGCTTTTTTTCTTATGCTCAACTTCCATGTTTGCAATGTCTAAGAACTCCTGCTGTTGTTTTAAGGTGTCATCAGTTTTAGCAGAAACACTACTACCATTAGTCGATGAACCTTGCATAACTTCTTCTCTTCGGTTCAGTTCTTGTTTCTTTTGAATATGTAAGGCGTCTTTATTATCAAATTGACTACCATATTAATGTAATTTGTATCTCGTTGCTTTTCTGTCTATTACATTTTCAATTGATGGACGGTTCTCATCACTTACCAAAGTTTCTTTTAACAATTCATCATAAGAAGGTCTCAAATGTAATTGTGATTTCAATGACCCTATTTTGACTGGTTCTACTGAATTCAATCTATTCACTGATTTAATCATAGTATATGAATTATTTAGAACATAAATTAATCAGAGATGTTCTTAATCATTTCTTCTAAATGTTGCTTTCTTACTGTTAGTTGTTCCTTTGTTTGTATTCCGTCTGGTGACCGTGTGTTGACTAATATGTTTCTTATTTTGTCTACTCCTTTCTGTAACTTTCGGTTCTGTTGCTGTCAACCAGATCATTTCTATACTTTATTAATGTTCCCTGTGATTGTCTCGCTTCCTGTGTGTCCTTCAATTGTTTAAAATAATTCATTCTTGAAGCAACTCCCCATAAATCTGAAACATCATGATGACGTTCTACTTGTGGCGCCCTACTACATTTCTATGACTTCTCATAAGCAGTATTGTTGTATATTCTAATTAGATTAGTATTTACAACATTGGTTAAGAGTATTTATTTAATCTATCTGATTTATCTTGATTCTTCTTTTGTTTCAGTTCTTCGTAATGTTGGTTTAATATTCTGTTGCTGTGGGTTTCTTAATTGTTTCTTTAATCACTTCTTGTTTTATTTCATTCTTAATCTCTTCTTTCACTTCTGGTTTTATCTTTCTTATATGTTGTTGTGGTTTAACAGGTAATAGCTCAGTAGGTGCTCCCTTACAATTTTTTGGATGTGAGTGTCTCAAACTTCTCAATGTCATCTTTTTAGAGCAATGTTCACATTCTACTAGTTCAACTTGGTAATGCTTTTGCTTTTGCTTTTGGCTCAGGTTTGGCCTCGTGTTCTTCTGGTTTAACTTCTTCTGGTGTTGGTTCTTCATTAACTGTTTCGTTTTGTTCAACAACTTCATTATTAATAGGTGCTTCTTCTGTTTTAGTTTCATTATTAACATCTACTACCTCAATACTTGACATATAATATGTATATACATTTTCCATCCATATGGAAAATATGGAAAATATATATTATTTAAATAATATCACTTTTCACAAACAATAATGAAAATGAACAATTAACACCGTTCAAATTAATTTCATTACCTAAAGAATTAGACAACCAAAAGTCTAATTGTTTAAAGCTTCTATTTGCTACATCAAACTAATCCAATGGATTTAATTCTGAATCGAATATCAAACCTGCGTACTTTCTTAACAACTGTGCTATCACCCGTCCTTAAACTTGTTTGACGATAATTAGACAATTGAGAAGAATGCATATACATATTTCTAATAGGTTGAACATTAATAAACTCAGAAACATAAGGATTATTATATTGATAAACTGCAATTTGATAATTTCCTAAGACTTCATTAACAGAACGTAAATTATTAGCACCAACACTTCCATTCCAAAGTTAATACTGCGAATTGTCTATCAGCATAGTTTGTTGAAATCGTTATTTGAGTAGTTTTTACACTGTAAGTAACTTCATAAATATTTGAGAAATTAGTATTATCAACAACACCATGTATTTTTGCTTTTAATTCTGTCGCCAGTTCTGTGCCAGAATGTACTCCTTCATCTAATTGCAACGCTAAATAATGGACATTGGTTTTATCTTCATCTGGAACTAATGGAGAAGAATAAAAGTATAGCATATTATTTAATCCTGACTGTATTGAATACCACGAGTTAGGCAATGTTACTGCATGAATGTACCAATGAACGCCATTACCAGTTTGTAATGTTTCTGGTAGTTCAACCCTAAAATTAGATGAGGAACCACTAATCCTCTGGGCGCTGTCAATATAAACTTTTTTTTATAAGTAAGCATTATTCATTAGTGGAGAAATTAATTTATAACCTTAATTATATGATAATAATAAAAAATAGTTTGTGAAATGAAACACGGCGAAGCCCTGCGGGGATTGATTTATCAAGCACCTCACGGTAAGGTTAAACATTATCAACCTTATGAGAAAACGACTAAAATAACTGATGTCATGAAACAAACTGACAACATATTAGAGAGTTATTATCCTAATTCTAATTTAATTGATGCCCAAGGATTAAGTAGAGCATATGGTAATGGTAAAGGATTCTACATTGATGGTGATAAAATGTATGTAGCAGGAACATTCGGAAAAGGAACGTTTGGAGGTGCTGTTAATGACATTCTGGCGGATGTAGGACTTCCATTTAAGATGACAAATATTCGCAACGATATAAAGACACATCAAAAGCACTGGATGAAAACAATGAAGTTAAACACCTTATAACACATAGTCTCGGTTCAAGTGTAGGGGCACAAATAGCAAAAGATTACCCTGAAAGAGACTTAACTTTAACCACTTATGAAGCATACATTAATTTTAGAAGTATCTTAGACCCTGTCAGTATTGCTGACCGTGGTGCTATAACGGTTTATACTGGTTCATTAAACCCATTTACTAACCACGATTACATAACAGGATACGGAGACCAAGGAAAAGATGTTTCAAGAAGCGTTGAACCTGTAAGTGATAATACAGTTAAATAAGTACTTATATATATATATATATAACAGTTTTTATTATATATGTATAATCAGTTGAATGAAAACTTGACAGAAAGTGAAACAAAATATAAACCATTAACAGTTGAAAATCATAATGGATTTATATAGAGATAATAAACGAACATATGCAAAATGCCAATGTGGATGTTATATATTTAGAGGTTTTGAATATTCCAATTGTTATAACTTTATCTTGTTTAAAGCAAACGTCGCAAATAATAAGTTCTTGTTATTAAATGACAACAACAGCTGTAATCACAGTCAATCAGACATTGATGAAATAGTAAAAAAACATCAATTTATTATCGTAATATTATTAATGATACAACATAAGAAATATGACAATGAAACAACGGATGATATGCTTAAGAATGAAAACAAAAAGTATAAGAAAAGTTCATATGAAGAAATTAGAGAGATTGTTTTAGAGAGAGAAAAATCTAATAATCCAGTTGAAGAAAAGCTTAAGAAACAGAAAGTTAAGATATTAAAAAATAAAAATTAAAGGACCGGATAACCCCACATGTCTATGCTTATGAAGATGCGCCACACTTACATCGATTGAGGGTCGCAGGTTGTAAGTCCAGGTGCACGAAGTACTGCGCCTGCATATCCTTCCCACTTGCAACTCCAATCAAGGATGAAATGAAAATTACCTGACACGCATTAAAAAAACAAAGGCATGCGCCTGAACGCAACCTCCAAAAACGGCACTACTGGGAGACCTAGTCTCAACCATCACCTCTCAAAATGAAACTTTGATGATCGCTCACAGCTGCCGCCATAATCCAAAAAGAAGAGAGAAGTGAGTTTGTCTTCATTGGTTCCTAGCCCTTCCGGGGTTGGTTTAAAGGAAAACCATTTAATCGATTTCATCCCCTGAGACCATCCAACAAGAGAGACATGGGTCAGATTTTTTTGGAGGGAAGCCTTGGGGTTTTGCTAAAGGCAAACCAAAGGACTACCACCAATTGGGGGGGGGGGAAGGGGGTGTGTCTTCATTGGTTTTGGTAGCCTTGCCAGGGTTGGTTTCAATCACAACCACAATGTGATTTTCTTCATGAAAAAACGACACACCCAAATCCAGGGCTGGTAGCTGTGCGTGTTACCCTTGCCCAAGCCTCCCTTCCGAGGCTGCCGCCCCGGTCGCCATGCACACCTTCGGCTTCCCGTGCTTTGCAGGGATCCCAATCATGGGTGTCCTCTTTGTGGAAAATAGATGGCCCTGGTAGTTGATTGAAGCACCAGGCAAACCAGGGCCCTCTATTTTTCTTGTTTTTGTTTGCGGGGGACCCAGGTGTCTTTTTGGTGCCTTTTGTGACACCATGGCAAGGGCCCCTCCGACCCGCGCAGCAAAGCCGGAACCCTCAAAAAAATCAGTCCCTCCACAAATTAATTGATGGTTTCCAATGGTTCAATAGACCAAATGGGTATGGCTCAAAAATCGGTACCAAAATCAAACCCTGGTAAGTGGAAACATGGACCAAAACCTGCGGTTTGCCCCTCCTGTTTAATTTTGAGCCACTGCCAAATGGGTGTGCCTTTCATTGGAGGGTACCCTGTTCTTTGTGATTTTAACAGCAAACCACAAGGACAACCACACACGGGCGGCCGCGCGTGTTGGGTCCCCTAAAAAAGACACGGCCACAGACTTCTAAAAAAACAGTTTAGCCACCGGAAATTCTAGAGGAAATCCACCAAAGCCAAAAGCTAAGGTAGGTTATCACCATGGCAAGGTTAGCCCCAATGATAACAATGATCCTGACTAACCTACGGATTAATAAACCCCTGGTTGATTTATGTGAGCTCCAGGGATGCCGCCAAACACATCACACAAACACTCACCTCCAGCTACGGGTTCAAGCAACGCAAGATTAACTAGGTTGAGCGGACACAATTTGAATGCAGCTCGTAACGGTTAACGCAAGCCCCTGGGTCTGTAACCCTGGACAAAAATCGGTTCAACGAGGGTATCCACACTTCTGGAAAGTCCAGTAATCTTTACCTTTTTCAAAGGTGTAGAAATAGGGTCAACAGGTGTCAAGAGGTCAAAGAGAGCTGGTAGAACTTTGATTGCTGGGTTTCTCCTTAAGAAAGTGCCTCTATCTTTTACCCCTACAGCACCAACCATTGCCGTCGCCGTCTTCCCGGTCGAAGGCCTCCTGAGCGGAAGCAAAGGAAACCATAGGGGATGGTTTATAGGGGGTCATTCCCTCGTTCCCTGCTGAGCACCAGCAAGTAAAGAACATAGATCGAGAACTTAACAAGCGTCCAAACAAGGCCCAGGTCGCTCCGAACTGCTCCATAGCTTTTCTGGAGTGAAAAACCTAGTGTGCAGCTTTTGTTGGCACAACTGAAAACAAAACAAACCAAACATGTGAGTGGCGCATCAACAGAGTGGATTGAAAAAGAGAAACTCTAAATCACCCAAGGGTTGGGGATTGGGACACATACCTCTTAAAGCCAAATGGAAACCCCGCACACCTCCATGGAGAAGCCAACTGATGTGCTTCTTGTGATTTCCCCTTAAAGCCACAAAAGAAGGTGACCTCTAACAAGACACACCCGCTTGAGAAGGGGAGACACGAAAGGTAGGATACCGCAAAGTGGTCCCCCTACCACAGGGAAAAGCTTGACTATGTTGAGAGGCCATGTCCGTTCCGCGAAAAAGGGAAGTACTGAAAAGTGGACCGCGGAAGCGAAGCGAGCGAAAAGCGTGGAAGGAGCGAAGCTGCCAATCAGGGCCAGAGTGCGGACCGGGGGGAGTCGAACGGGGGGGAGGGGCAGGGGTCAATATTTCATTGGTTTGTGCGACGTGAAACGACTACCATCCGGCAGGTGCTTTGAAAAACAATTCCGTCAAAAAAGGACAATCCCAAGACCCAAAGACCCGAGCCCCAGAACCAAACAAGCCCAAAAACTCACTGGGCCAATTATTTTTAGTGTCAAAGTCACCCCCGTTCAGTGGAAGGGAAAAAACAAATTTCTGACTTTGATCACCCCTAAAAGCAGCACATAATGACCCCAAAAACTCATGAACCAAACAGACATCCCTTCGCAAAATCAAGCGCATGCAGATCGAAGGTCAGAACCTAGTTTCCTAGCTTTGATATCACCCCAAATGAGAGCCCAGGATTAAGAAAACCCCCTAGCCGAGTTTCAGGGGAGATCCCTTCTCGCTTGGAAAACATCTAATCCACCAGGTCGGGATTCAGCCGGAGTCGGAATTACACTCATTTGAAAATGTTGTCACCAGGATTTTGCATAACAAAAAACACTTGTTCAACCTCCTTCTAAAACAAAATAAGTCTAACCCTCCTTCCAAGCCTTCGCGGTGCCCTAACAAGCTACCCAGGGCCATTTGCCTTGCCAGCGGAGCGGAAGGACTTGCTGCGAACATGGCCACTCGGGGTTGCTCATGTGACGGTCAAAACCCCTGTTAGCCCCAGTGAACATCCCAATCCCCACTGAAATAGGTTGTAAAATGGGTGGTGAATTCGCCTACCAATCAAAATGGGATCCCATGGATTTTGAACCATGGCCATGTCGGTCCAGGTTGTGGAAGAGGGGGTCGTCCAAGTACCTCTCGAGCACGTCCGGCCGTGCTGCGCATTCGCAGCCCAGGTAGTCCCAGGAACAGTTTCAGCTGTTTGGCCCTTGTGCAAAATGCCCCCCTGGTATCATAAAGACTCCTGCATCCGCCTAGGCGAGCCGAACGCGTAAAACAGAGTTGTATATACATAAATTATGTGTATATATATATGATACACGTATCATTCAATGTAGGCTATTTAGCACTCAGCCCCGTGATGGCTCCTTTCATGGGAGTCCTTCTCGTGGTCATCCTTATCCAAAGCATTGCCCCAAGGCCATAATCGTAGCCTACGGCACATAAATAATAATCACAAGCACTTCTGACCAAGGCTAGCCAGAAAATTCCAAAAACTGTGCGCAAATGCCACTTGAATGGTAAGATTGAAGTCCATGAGCTCAGAAAGTGAGAATCATAGGATCATGTTTGGAGGAGACCCTTCGAATCATGGGAACTCTGGCGCGTAGACACCTCTGTTGGTTGGCTCGGTTGCTCCTTGTTTTATGGTTGAAGTAGAGAACCCCTCCTCATTTGCAGGCAGGATGGGGGCTATGATTCCAGGACTCCGTTGGAGCGCTCTAAAACACACCCATTTCCATTTCTGCCGACCCCTCGTCAAAGACGGGCGGGAAGGGTGCCTGGCACGTGAGCATAACCGAAGATTCATCATCAGCATGATCCTCATCCAGCATCATCATCGTCATCATCATCGTCATCATCATCGTCATCATATGCTCGTGATCATCATCATGGTGATCATCAAACTAGGTTGATCCTGCAAGTAGCTTCGATTCTCATCATGGCGGCCATCATCATTATCAGTGCTCATCACCATCCCGATTTTCATCCAGCATCATCATCCAGCATCATCATCGTCATCATCATCCCCATTTTCATCCAGCATCATCATCCAGCATCATCATCGTCATCATCATCGTCATCATATGCTCGTGATCTTCATCATGGTGATCATCAAACTAGGTTGATTTTGCAAGTAGCTTCGATTCTCATCATGGCGGCCATCATCATTTTCACTGCTCATCACCATCCCCATTTTCATCCAGCATCATCATCCGGCATCATCATCGTCATCATCATCGTCATCATATGCTCGTGATCATCATCATGGTGATCATCAAACTAGGTTGATCCTGCAAGTAGCTTCGAGTCTCATCATGGCGGCCATCATCATTATCACTGCTCATCACCATCCCCATGTTCATCCAGCATCATCATCCAGCATCATCATCGTCATCATCATCGTCATCATATGCTCGTGATCATCATCATGGTGATCATCAGACTAGGTTGATGCTGCAGCCATCATCATTATCACTGCTCATCACCATCACCATCTTCATCCAGTATCATCATCCAGCATCATCATCGTCATCATCATCGTCATCATATGCTCGTGATCATCATCATGGTGATCATCAAACTAGGTTGATCCTGCAAGTAGCTTCGATTCTCATCATGGCGGCCATCATCATTATCACTGCTCATCATCATCCCCATTTTCACCCAGCATCATCATCCAGCATCATCATCGTCATCATCATCGTCATCATGCTCGTGATCATCATCATGGTGATCATCAAACTAGGTTGATCCTGCAAGTAGCTTCGATTCTCATCATGGCGGCCATCATCATTATCACTGCTCATCATCATCCCCATTTTCACCCAGCATCATCATCCAGCATCATCATCGTCATCATCATCGTCATCATGCTCGTGATCATCATCATGGTGATCATCAAACTAGGTTGATCCTGCAAGTAGCTTCGATTCTCATCATGGCGGCCATCATCATTATCACTGCTCATCATCATCCCCATTTTCACCCAGCATCATCATCCAGCATCATCATCGTCATCATCATCGTCATCATGCTCGTGATCATCATCATGGTGATCATCAAACTAGGTTGATCCTGCAAGTAGCTTCGATTCTCATCATGGCGGCCATCACAAGCTCCTCAAAATGTTGTGCCCCCCCCCCCACCGCACCCCCCCCACCCCATCAGCCCCCCCCCCCCCGCCAGGGCCCACGTTCACGGCTCTACTTGGCGCGGAACCCCTAAAAAGGTGTGTGTTCTTTGATGTCATTCTTGGCATATTGCCCTGCAGGCGTTGATCAAGTCGATGGCTTTGCGGCCCAAATACCAGCACGCCTCGCCGTACGACTGAAAAGGGAGCGCCGTTGTCCATTTCGCGCCACTTAAGAACCCGAGAAGGACGTGTATTTTTTGCAATTTTGCTTCACACATGATTCCCCGCTGGTCTTCGAGCAACCTGGAAGAAAATGTTGGCCCAGGATGGCGTTATTTCTATCTTCTTTCAGGGGCTGAGCTAACCCTTCAGTGTTGCTACCTCCAGGTTTATGGATGGTATCCCCTGGGCCCCTGGTTGTCTGCAGCAACTGGAAACATCAGAAGGGGCCCAGCCACACCCTTCCGTTCGGTGTCCTTTCCCAACCTGACACGGGGGGCTACTAGCAAAAGCCAAACATGACCTCGGAACACTCGGAACCGTCAGTTCTACACGGCCAGTTCAACCTCCACAAACCGTGCGTTCGCTCTGAA